TGGGGCCGGAGCTGATTGTATCTCGAAAAATTCGTAAGTAGGGGCGTTCATAAGTAGAGGTACCACTGTACTTGTCAATCATACTTAAAAAAAACTATAACTCCACTCATGCTCTTCAGAACAGTTGCAGTTTCTTCTTACTGTTATATTTACAACCACCAAATGAATTATGTATATGGATTGTTTAAAAAAATGTAAGGACACATTTGAACAAAATGTACCTGGTGTATAACTTGTTGAGATGTAGTAACTGCTAAGGAGATCAGCCAGAGGTGTTAATCTCCCCTGATAGGATTAAACATGGGTGAGGTCAAAAAAGGGTCCCTTCTTGTCTAAGGAAGTATTATAATCCCAGAACAGGTACTTGTATAATTTTTAACATTAGCATTACAACATTTATATACTACTCTTCATCTGCGATTACAGAGGGATTTGCATTAAAGAAAAGAAAATACCAGTAAAAGAAATTTAAAAGAGTCCAACAAAACAGCAGACAGGACTAAAGGCATCAGAAGGAACCAAGGCCTCGATAAGTTTATCAGAGACAGTGTAAAATTGTACAGGGTGCTATTCAGCAAATCTCACTGCAGTGTTTTATAGTTCCTAGGAATTAAGTAGTTGCAAATGTAGCATGGTTAGCATTCAGGAAACACAAGGAAATTTCAGTTGTGATGTGCTGAAAATATTATGATAAATACAGTATATGAAACACCAGTGGCTTAAAATGAAAACAGAATAACTTTCATGCAGTTGCAGTATGTAAATGGAATACTGTGACCAAAAAATGGAATGCTATTTTCCCTGGAAAGAAGAAAAACTGATTTTGTTTTCAAAAGTCGTTTTAGCCAGGATTCTCAAACTTTGCAATATTATGACACCCTAAAATGATAAGTGAATTTGTGGAACCCCTTCATAAAAACTAAATAACAAAAAATAAGAAATGCTAAAACTGACAAAGGACTAGACCCATGGGTTTCAGTATCTGTCAAAATTCAGCAAGGGCTTTGCTTCCTGCTTTACGTGTATAAGTCTCTGCTTGTGGCTGCTTTGCTTAAGCAAGCCTGACAAACTTTAAAAAGGTTTTTGTGAATTCTACCTTGAGTTCCCCACCACCCCGGTGTGTCATGACTGACAGCTTGAGAAGCCACAGACTATAGGCCAATACATGAAAAACGATTGTCTTTATTAACATCACAATCATAAGTAATAACAATTAACAGTTAGCAATAACAGGGCTTTAGAATATGTGCTGTTTTCTTTAGTTTTTTTCTTGGCTATGCTTTGCAGAACTGACAGGACTTTTGTGTCTCCATTTTATAGTATGAAATACTAATGCATAAAGTATTATTCTT